AGCAGATTTCACAGATTAAATTATCTATATGTTTTTCTCTTTTAATTGGAATTTCATTATTACTTTCCTACCTATAATAGGTAAGGAAAGTATTGAAATCGGTGCTCCAAAAGTGCTCCAACCGCAATAGGTGCAGCGCAATAAATAAAAAACATGTTTTTCTGTAGACTGTAACGCGAAAACGGCTCCAACAAATTTGATGAAACATTCCTATAATGTTCTGATAATTGTTCTTTAAATTTTCGTCCCCGAGAAAATTCAGGAAAAAAAGTTATAAAGAAAAGAAAAAAATTTTGAGGCCTAATTCGCTAAGTATATATTCTACGGTAAAATTTGTAATAAAACTTTTTAAAGGTAATTAAATTTACCAACAAAATAAAAAAAATCATGTGAATCGAAACAGTATTAGCGATGATTCCACTTATTCTATTCTCTACACATGTTAATTTATTACTTTCCTACCTATACTAGGAAAGGAAAGTATTCAAATCAGGTCAAATTTCTGATATGCGAAAAACACATTTTTGCCTGTTGTTTTGAAAGATGATGAAATTTCCTACAAAACTATTTAAAAATAGTTCATTTCGGACAACATACGAAGTTACACATATTCAATTTCCGATGTAAGATTACATATTTATATCCTGGTGCCAGAAAGGAGTGATTGATAGAAAAAAAACTAATTTAAAGTAAGAAAATCTGTTGCCCGCATCGCTATTGTTGATAAGGCTATTACAAAATGTTTTGATCAGCAATATTAGAGGGTATTGAAATTTTTACGCTAATCTACGGTAAGCCGGTTCACATTGCTTTAGTTAATCAAATAGATCGTACTCAATTCTTTTGTTTGATCAATTTTTAGGAAAATAAATCTAATTCATTTTTTGGTTTATTATTTTCAATAATGAAACATTGTGATCGATCAAATAACTCAAAAACTGATATAAAATCAGAGGACACCCGAGGAAGATCCTCCTTCATCGACATTACTCTCCGCCTTTAACATTCAACCTTTGAATACAGGCTGCCGAAAAACCTGCGTTGCTATAGACTGTAGCTCCCAAACGAATGTACAAATTTCGCTAAAGTCATTTTCTCGACGCCTTTTAAATTTATCTATATGACATACTTCAACGAAAACAAGCTGGAAAAAAAGTTACGAGGGATGGTAAATTTAAATTCCGCATAACTCGAAAAGTTTTTACTTTTTTGTTGTTATTGTTGATAGTTTGTTAAAAGTTTATGAAATTTCCTAAAAAACAAAAAAAAAATAGTTAAAATCGGACAATTAGGAGCAAAGATATGGTCTCCGGTTTTTTTTTATGTGTTCTACTCCAAATGTGATATCCTTGGTTTGGTTTTTAAATCTTAAATGTGTTACTGAACTAATGTTATTTTTTTTTTAGCATATTACTAATGATTAAAGAAAAGCAGTTTAGTCCAATAATTGGTACCACCTTTTGTTATTTTTTCTTTGTAACTCGGAAGGTAATGTTACTTTAGATGTATAATCGTTTGAAGATAATAAACCAATGTGTAATCATTTACAGCGTTTTTTTTCTTGATGGACATATGTAAAGATAGAAAAACTTTTCTAAATTAGGAAGGAAAGTCGTGTGATTGGACACACCAGATTTTTTTTTTATTTGGAATTAAATTTTAATTGAATTGACATATATTTGACAACAAATAGATGTGATATAGTGAAATTGGAAAAAGATATTACAGGAAGAATAGTATCTAGCAGTACTGGCCTAGGAAGACCATATTAGCTTCTTTAATTTACGAAAGATGATCTCTCATCCAGCTCATTTTTATTCGCCTTCTGATGGACAAATCATTTATGACCATGTCTTTTATAAGTCTGTTGTTGTGTCCGTGCAGTTTAACATAAAATCGGGAATAAGTACATATACGTTGGTTGGTATTTTATTTATTCGATTTAATATAAACACTTAATATACATTTTTATTTGGCGATTAGTATATTTAATCAATTGATGTTTGACTGTATTGTATTGTAAATCTCCCTTCACCGTTCGCCGTCCAAACCTAGTCCCTTCAGATTGGCTTTAATGCAATCTTCCCACCTTCGCTTCGGTTTATCCCTCGGACGTTTACCATTAGGTACAGCAAATATTAACCTTTTAGGAATTCTCTCGTTACTAAGCCCAACAAATTTACAAACCCATTTGATTCGCCGGGATGAAATCACCTCAATTATATTACCCGGATACAGTTCATGTTCATGTCAGATGATACTGGTTCAAAATAATTCTCTAAAATTAGTGTTGTGTTAAAATTTTTGTGTCGTCAGCATAGGCTGCAGTCAATGTTTTAGAATTATCATCTTTTAACCACACAAATTAAACTTTTAGAATAATCATTGGGTTTTTAGGTTTCCAAAAATCCAATCACACAGCCAAGGATTCCTAAAATATGACCCAGCCGAGAAAAACTCTCTTTTATTTCAATGTGTGTTGATAAGAAATATAACAAAGTGATTAAAACAGCTTTTGAGATTAATTTTGAAACTGATATTGCAACGAGGTTATCAACAGCTAGCACGAATGACCTGCTTTAGACACGCAGGGATCAGCTGTTATCTTATTAACCAAAATTTAACGAGAAAGTTCAATAAAAACTCATAATATTAATTACATCAGTGTTAGTACTCGTTTAAGATAAATTAGACACTTTAAGCATGAGAGACATTTACATAAATGGACTCAAACAAAAATCCACAATGCATATTAAATTATTTAGATATATGTGAAATACTTGAAAACCTTGGTTAGTGAGTGAAAACTGACTTACACATTTTTTTAATCCACAATGTATACGAATTTATAAGTTTAGCGACGATAGTAAAATACGAGATTAAAGTAAGTCATCGTGATAATTTTTTCCTTAGGATCTACTATTTGGTGATTGGTATATTTAATCAATTAATTCTGATTTTGTATTACAGTGATTCCAAACTCGATTTTTTTGTAGACATAATTCTATTGTTTCGTTTTTTTTTCAACAGATTTCCTTGTTTCTTCGTTTTATAGCATCATTACTAAATATACTTCATTATCTGTGCAATGAATATAAAATATTATCAGAAATAATGTATGAAAATAAAAAAATAAATGAGACTATGTTAGAGAACGTGAGATATCTTACTATACAATTTTTTTTTTTTTTTTAAACTTATTTATTGAAATATATTACAATCTGTCTCTAGGACATCTATAATAGAGTTCACAGATCACATTCACACTCTATGTACAATAAATAAAATAAATTATACAGAAAAATAATATATATACTATAAAAGGGTAGGTCAGGTGATGGCACAACTGAACATTGATCGTACATTGACTATAAAATTCTATATTTTTTTTCGAACTATAGAAATTCTTGAAGAGGATGGTTGGGGTGTTCAGTCAAATTGAAATGGTAAAAAATTAATCATTTTATTTATTTTTACATTCGCCGACGTTTCGGCCATTCGTCTGAAAAACTAGTTTCTCGAAAACTTTTACTTTTACTTGATATTTTTACTATGATAATATTGCAAATATCACCCAATAAAAATTGAGAGGGACGAAAATACTTTTCGCTCCATGTTTCCCAATATTTCGAAGAACGAAAATAAAATCAAAATCAATAACAATTAATCTACATGAATGAATAGAATATGTATACTAAAATCGATTAATAAAATTGGAAAACTCGATTAGATACCTAAGCTAATACGTAGAAGTTGGTACACAAGTATTTTACCCTGGCAAAATATATTTTGTTTAAAATCTTAATAACAACAAAAAAAATTATTTTACTACTCCCTAAGTTGCTATTATTGAAATTTTAGTTTATATTCAAAGATATATTTCATTTATTTATTTGAACCCTACCATGCCGTTGAGGCACGGTTGCAAATCTGGGTTATTACACGTCACTGCATAACTGCCTGCTTCTGCAACGAGATCAGTGTTCAATATTCAAAGATAATTATATGCAGCAACATAAACTAGGTTTTTATGATTCATTCATGAGGATCCTTCCGCTGTTTCGTAAAATTATATTACATTTCCCGCAGCGAATTTGAGGCATCGGAGAACCGAGAGTTCACTTCACTGCCACAAACTTTTAAATAAAAATTTGCAATATATTCTTATACTTTTGGGGGGGAGTACATCGCCCCTTCCCTCTGCGCCATTGGTTCTTGGTAGAACTTAAGGACCCAGGTTTGAATCCGGCTGATGACCGATAATTTTTCATCAGTCGTGGATCGATCCTAGGATCGAAGGAACCTCCTTGGGCACAACCCAGCCTTTATAATGTGGGTATTCTTAATTAAATAATTAATTAATGGGGAATACCTGGCAATTAAGCGTGATATTGGCCTAATGACCTCCCTGAACAACCTTGTAACAGTACTTGCTCAAATTTTTACTGAGCCCAAGACCCTTCATTAGTTATTCTTGGTACAGGTTGTTTTTTTCTTTTAACATTGTTGGTAAAATTATTCCAGAAAACTTTTATAAACGTATGGTTTTGAGAAAAAGAACAATTCTGAACTATAAACCGAGTTCTGAAATAAGGTGTGATTTTATTATTCGAAATAATTTTTAAACTAATGTACTAACATTATACCATTATGTAATCATTAATCGTAAAAACTTGTTTTGAGGTTTGTTGAATTTTATTTTTTTCTTCCTTGATCGATTTTATTAAGGAAAAAAAATAAGGCTATTCAATTAACACCACATTCTTGTCTTTCACGCTTTTTAAAGAACATTTACCATTGTACAACATATCAATAAAACTGCAAATGAAATCGGATTGATATTTTTTTTTTTTAGTTTAAACTTTCTTTTTTTCAACTACAATAATTTTATGGTATATATGTTTTCTTTAGAGTGTTATCATTTATTATTGGTTATTTTAAATTTTATCTTGTTTATATTTCTTAGTTCATTTTAGTAACGACTCACTTTTTTTTTTCAGTCGGATGGGAATACAGCCTTTCTGCGGGCAGCCCGAGCAGGGCACCTAGAAAAAGTACTCGATCAACTGAAAAATAATGTTGATATTAATACTTCTAATGCGGTAAGTGTATTATATTTATATTAATATTACTCAGCTATCAAATTAAATATATAATAGTTTGGAAATTAGTTGGTCATTGTAGGCATAATGAGAATCACAGAAAAAAAAAATGTATTTAGTTTTGTGCTGAAGTTTCAATGAAACTTTTTTTTTTAGTTGAAACTGAAAACACTTCATTTTTTTTTTTTTATTTATGTTTGTGACCGCGACTGCAATCCTCAACTTTCCAACAATATTATTTCCATTCAACTGTTTCTCTACTCCAATAAAAATATATTATCTATTATATGTATTATAGTATTACTATTGTACAAATAGTTTCAAACAACCTTATATTAAGAACGTAAAATATAATGTTAATTTTAATAGGAACTATGTAATAATATCTAATATTTTAATTTTGTTTTGTTGTACTCCTTAATATTTGCATTACGTAAATAATAGAATAAAGATATTTCACTAATATTCCAATAAAGTTACTAGTAATTTCACTGCGATTAGAAAAATAAAAAGTTCATATAAGTGCAACTATTTTAGTATAAGAATATTATAATATTAATTTTCTGCACATTATCCACAAATCATTAAAACTTGGAAGGTTTGAATTCATCAAAAATATGAAAATCGTAAAAATGAGAATACGCTTATGGATAATAATCCAGAAAAATCAAATTTAACTTCCTATAATTTATAGAAGATTTCAAGCATAAGACCTCTTGAAAACATATGTTTAACAAATACATGTTCACCATTCGATCGGACCTGAACAAAACTCAATGTAGTTAACAACCCAACTCATTTTAGTCAAAATTTAATTAGGCAGTTTAAGAATTATACATGAGGATATAATCATAAACTGGTATTATTTGAAAACTCTGACAAGCTTTTTTGTAGTTTCAATTTATTGTAGCTGAATTCAAATTCAAAGCTTTATAATTTAATAACAGCATAATTTTTTTATTCCACGTTCTTTAATTAATACAAAAACAAGAAAAATGTGAATTGTTCTATAATTAATTTTATAAAAGACTGCAATATTAGTCCGCGGTACAGGTCCTTTTTCAATAAAATTATTAACATCTGTCTAAAATTTCGTGAGTGGCTTCATTTCGTCGTAACCTACAAATATTTTATCTACGAAAATTCTCGGCATTGGGACGTTTGGTGTGACCTACAACCCCAACTTGTCAGAACGACGTTGTGAAAATTTGTTAACATCCGTCTGATTTTTAGAGTAATAGTTGTGTACCAATAGTTGTTTAGAGGGAATATTTATATTCTTTCATAGGATTATTTCCATTTTATTTAACATTTGCCAGGTCTAACAGTACATTCGCGGATGAGAAAAATACCTTACGAGAAAAAGTAAATAAATATATATAGTTGTCTAAAATGTAAGTACTAATACCAATATTCGTGAATTAATTGTCATCCATTAGAAGGAGGGAAATATGAAAATTTACTCACTTTGTGAGGCAAATATCTTTGTTTATTCATAATTAAAATTTAATTAGTTACATAGTTTAAGCCTGTATAGTAGATGTTCCATTTATTAAAATTCCTCCTCCAGTAAAATTAAAATTTCACCCTAATCCTGATTTCTTTACCCAAAAACTACTTCTGGATCCTTCCCTGAAACAGTAGACGAAGAATTTGCAACTGAAATTTAAATTTTTGGAAACTGCCGTCTTATAACCAAAATATTGGAAACCTATCAATACTTCAGCTTCGGTACCTTGAAAATAATACCAAAATAGTTATTATTAAAAAAGTGAAGTAAGTCTACCTGGAATTTGGAAACGCCGGGGGCTCTTCGAGACGACAGCTGCAACGAGGATTAACATAATCGATAAACTTTCGTGACTGCAATCGCCCTCATGAATTATTTAACGCCGTGCGCTAGCTCTAATAATTTCCTGCAGTTATTTTGCTCCTCCGGTCCCTGTCTTCCTTTGCATTCCATAAATTTATTGTTCTATTTTTATGGCATGGAACTCACGTTCCGGACCTAGATAATATTTTATACAAGTTACCGTTCAAAAGAACCTTAAGCATAAAAAATATTATTTTTTATAATATATCCATCTCCATCTTCATATATATTATTTTTCTAAGACTAGAAATCGGTTTTGTACCAAATATAAGTTCTTGTCATGCTCAAATACCATGAATGGGGTATCTTTGGATTTAGAATTTTACGAGAGGTTAGTGTATCGTAGAGCAGTGAATCGTACTCTTCGCTTTTGTTTGGTTTTTTATACAAACATTTTGCTAGAACGGTGGTAAGTCTGTAGATTGATACAGAATAAATTGGGCTTTGAAGATTTTGATGCGTACACCAAGACCCGTATAGTTCCTTTAGAACTATCGATCTCTTCGTTCTTAACCTCAAAACATACTATTTTCGAGATAATGCTAGGCAAAGGGTTCGCATCCACACAACCTTATGTTAATTGTAGTACTATGATTGAATACATGTCTTATTTCGTCGACTTGAGATCTCTATGTTTGAGAGAGGAGGAGTTTATATTGTTTATAGTCCAACCACCCCGAATATTCAGGCAGTTATGAAAGAAAACAAATTTTATTTGTGAATAACTAAAAAATTACACACTTTTTCCTTCGTTATGCACATGATTATATAAAAAAATACTAAATTCCTTGCAAAAGGAAAAAAAAAATCATCAAAATCGTACAATGTTTAGCAAAGATACAGCTTACTGAAATTTATAACATGTTGGTTCCAACCAAAAATGAAGATTTAACTTGATTTTTGTTTCCTTTGTCGATTATATTTATCGATAAAGTAACATTTGATGTCTTCACCTTTTGATACGTTGCATTTATTTTTTCTTATTAATTTGGCATATTGATAACAATATATTGTGCGAATTTTTCGCGCGGGCCTACTAGTCTATATTATTTCGCTAAGACTCGAAATCGGTTTTGTACCAAATATAAGTTCTTGGCATCCTCAAATACCATGAATGGGGCATCTTTGGATTCAGAATTTTACGAGAGGTTAGCGTATCGTAGGTTAGCGAATCGTAATCTCCGCTTTTGTTTTTCTTTCTAAAATACAAACATTTTGCTAGGCTTCAATACTGGAACGGTGGTACGTCTGTAGATCAATACGGGATAAATTGGGCTTTGAAGATTTTGATGCATACACCAAGACCCGAATAGTTCCTTTCGTTCTCAAGCTCAAAACATACTGCTTTCGAGATGATGCTAGGCAAAGGATTCTCATCCACACGACCTTACTTTAATTGTACTGTCATTGAATACATGTCTCATTTCGTCCACTTGGGTCCCCTATGTTCGAGAGAGGAGGAATTTATATTGTTTATCAAAGGTGTTTTTTGTCGTTAAGCCATATCATCGTTAATTTTTCAACAAATCCCAAGATTGAGCCACCAATTTCGAGGGCTCCCTTCACCTTCAGGCGGAAAAAATAATCCAATCACCCCGAACATTCAGGCCAAAAAGTTATGAAAGAAAAAAAACTTTATTTGTGAAAAAACTAAAAAAATACACACTTTTTCCCTTGTTATGTCCATGATTATATAAAAGATTACTAAATTCTTCACAAAAGGAAATAAAATCTTCGAAATTTTTCCAATTGATTTTTATCATTTTTTTTTTTTTATTATTTTCAATTAATATTCATTAGATCTATTAAAGTCCATTTCATTTGAAAATAACTATATATTTGGCATATACATATTTTATGAGTACGATGTTGAATGGTTATGTCCATGATTATGTAAAACATTAGTAAATTCATTATAACAGCAAAAAAAAAATCTTCAAAATCGGACAATTATTAGCGAAAATACAGATTATTGAAATTTATAAACATGTTGTCTCCAAACATTAACTCTTTTTTTTTCATAGCCCCCTTTTTTTTGTCTTGAATCCTTGGATTTTGATTATCTTCATAATAGTCATTTTACTGCCAAAATATTTTCTTATTAATTTGACATTTGATCACTGAACAATATACTGTGCGAATTTTTCGCACGGCCCTATTAGTATACATTATTACCCTAGAACTCGAAATCGGTTTTGTACCAAATATAAGCTCCTGCCATGCACAATACCGTAAATGGAGTACAGTTGGATTCAGAATTTTACGGGAGGTTAGCGTATCCTGCCCTATGATACGACTCGTCTTGGTCTCGCATTTGGGCTACACTATCTGTACAGCGGGCTACATATATAACAAATTGTTCCTTCATACTCAAGGATTAAATAACCAGAGAACTATTGATGAGAGCTTCGAAATTCTAGTAGCGAACCAAAGAATATCCCTCCTCACAAAAAAAGTAGCACTTTCAAGTCCAAACTCTCTCAGGGTAGACTTATCTACTTCTTTGGTAGTGCTAAATCTCAACTGTTAAAAGGTCCAAGTATTAATGAATATTATTTACATATTTGAACAGTCTTGCATAGTGTGAATCATTCTTTAGTCATGTATAGTAGCCCCGTGCGAATTATTTACGCAGTATATTCTGGGCGAACAAATGGCTAAATAACAAAGAAATAAAATAATCCAGTGTATCATAATATATATTATTTTATTTTATATATAATCAACAGAAATATATTCATTTTATTTTATACATATTAATTTATTCTATTCTCTTTGGATAGCCAAATAGATATATGAAGAATGCAATAAATTTTATAATTACAAGAGTTATCAAGACTTGAAATTTCTTCTGGTCTAAATCTCAGAAAATCTTATCTAAAATGAAACGCAGGTCAATAGCTTCTTTTTATCTAAACTTGATAGAGGATTCAGAAAGACATGTCTACGAAAAAACTCAATACCGGAAAGGAATCCCAAAGTTCAAACAAAAGCTACCGTATTAATTCATAAGAACTCATGAAATTACACAAAGCTTCTGTGTTAGCATTTTACTGAATTGTGATCCTTAATTAAGAATTTCAGCATCTTTTAAATAAAATAGAACAAAACTTATCAGTACTAATCTCTTTTTCCTGAAAAAAAAACTATGCCTCTGATATCTTCTGCCATATCTAGTATACTTTAAATAGAGTAAATTGCTTTTGTCACTTATTTCCATATAAAACCAGGAGCTTTGTAGTAGTCTAAATATACATTAGACGTTGACAGCTGATGAATATGGATGTGTCTCTGGGGATCTCGAGGTAAATCTAAAACGTTTTATTTATAACGTGTACGATTCATCTTTGTGATTCCCGCTCATTCATTTTTGTGATAAACTCTGAATGGTAAACTTAGGGGTCTCATTCTTCCGATTTTATCGAGAGCAAAACCGACTTTGGCTTTCCTCCCTAAAGCGTTCTATTCCTTCATTCCATGAATCGATGCAATAATATTCTCACCTTATTACTCTGTCAATTCAATTACTTTCTGTTCAACCATTTTCAAAAGAACATAAGAATAAACATATGTTCGCAATTGTATTTTCAATCAAATGAATAAATATGTATTCATTGATTGTATACAACAGACATAGATATCTAGTGAAAAACTTACATAACAAGGAGAACCATTCTAGAAAAGCTTAGATAAAACACTATGAAATATTACTTAAACCTGTAATACTATAGAGAATGGAGACAATGGGATTTGCCAGTACCGAATAGCTACTGAAAACAGAGAGGAAAATACTAAGATATATCCGTGGACCAAGAAAGGTGGGAGATAGAACTGGCCTAAAAGAATCAAGAATTGTATGAACATGTCGAAGATCTAGAAATATCAATGAGGCAAAGGAAATTGGAATTATTTGGTCAGAGAATGAATACATATAGGATAAACACAAAAGAATACCCTGAATAGATTAAGGAAGAAGAAGATGAATACCTAAATAGTGATTTATTCAGGAGAACAGTGAATAAGGTCAGGTCCTTAGATAAGAAAAGAACAGAAAGGAAGGAAGGGAATGGGCTGAAGAACGGAAATATGAAGAAAGTTTGGGCTGAAATGAAAGCCAAGAAATAATGATATTTGCTTGGTCTTGGTCTTTAGCTGACTTACATCGCAAAAAAAAGATTATTTATACTTTTTTAAATTATTATTAGTTCATCCTTTTTTAATATTAAAAGATTGTTTTTCTTGAAAGGCGTAAAAGCCTCAGGTCATCAACACATGAATTATAATATTCTAATATTAGAACATTAAAAATATTCGTTAGTCCCACTACTTTGTCATTACTTTACCTTTACTCATTCTTTTCATGTGACGAAATCATTTTAATCTCGTGAGGTATTATGAATTAATAAGGCAATGGTTACAAATTAGAGATTAGGCAGCTTTAGACCTTGGGTATTTCTTTTTTTCCAAGGGTTTTTCCTAGACAAGTCTTTATGAAACCTCTGTTAAGTTTATATAAAAAAAACTAATCTACATCCATTTACAGAACTTTTCTGAGATTTGATTCAGATAAAATTTCGAATCCTGGTTACTCCTATTCAAATAAACACGGCATTCTCCGTCTATATCGTCGGCACCATGAAAGTGAAAAATCACATTTTTCAATTCTGTCATTGTGGCAAAATGTCGAATCTGAACGGCTATAGAAAGACCGGTATCAGTAAAATCATGTTTACGAATTTATAGCTTTGTTAGATATGTACATGTTGAAGTTACGTATATATTTCTCTACTTTTTGATAATTCAAAGAGAAAATATCATCGAAGAAAGAAAATTTCTTTAATATATCTCCTTCATAGATTGTCTTTTTCTAAATTATGGAAACTAAAGGAACACTAGATCAAATTGTTAAATTACAGTAAAATCTTCATCATCCTACTCAGTAAATCTTTAATTGGAAACTACTTATTTGAGTTTACTCATCCTAGATCAAATCAGTTTATAATTTTCCTTCTGTTCTTGACTTAGCTTTTAGAATCCCTACAATGTTATCTTAGAACAGTTTCTGAAAATTGATCTTTTTACCTGATCACTTTGTATTCATGGTATAATCTGCTTCATTATATCTCGGACGTTTGATCCTCAACAAATCAAGCTGAATTCAACATCAATATATGTTAGAAAGAACATGTTTACTTATTCTATGGAATATATGCTACCAGATTATTGTCTTTACTAGAAAATATATTTTATTTTATTATCTATTTTTAAGTTCTTTTATCTTTCAGATAGATCCATATTTCTATTATTTTTATCTTTATAGTACATATACAGTTAATATTATGTATTAACTTATTTTCCAGAACGGCCTGAACGCATTACACTTGGCATCTAAGGATGGCCACATACAAGTTGTTGATGAGCTCCTCAAGAGAGGGGCCAATGTCGATTCCGCGACGAAAAAAGGAAACACTGCTTTGCACATCGCCTCTCTCGGTGAGCTATTTACATTGTAATCATTGATTATAATTTATTTATTATAATTATTATTTACAATACATTATTTATGTTTTTTTTTGTCCTCCCCTTCCTGCCGTTAAGGCTATACGCGGTTTTCTCGGGCCAGGGGGTGTGGGCGGGGATTTAAAAGACGCCTTGGCACCGGGATGCGAACTCATGACTATTTTTGTATTATTTATCTTATATCAGGTTGCCGGGCAACGGTGGTGCTGCGCACAACGCGTTAGCCCATTCGGCCACCGCGCCCGAAATACATTATTTACGTATAATTATCATCAAATCTTAGTGTTATAAATTATTAATATTAGTATACTCCAGAGAGAACTCTCATATTAGATAGCTAATGTGTCCCTTAATGCATTAGAGACAAATGTGAAACATATTTAATCGTATATACCATAGTATAATTTATTTAATCGTTCATACAATTACATAGCATAATAACATGGAGTAAAATCATAAAAAGTATTATGATTAAACTATAACATACTAAGCGTTGCATTTACATATTAATCCGTGGCACAGTCCCCTTTTTACCAAATTATTAAAAACTGGCTGAAACTTCGTAAATAACTTCATCGCATCGTAACCTATAAATATTTTACTAATGAAAATTCTTGGAATTGTGGCGTTTTCAATCTGTGTATCGTCAAACTTTATTTAATTAGGCACTAAAAACTCGTAAATATCTATTTGCTATCCACTTGAATCGTAAGATAATTTGAGCACAAACTCGAGAAAAAAGTGGCCTTCAAAAATATTGAACCGTTTGGCGTGACCTAGCACCTCAAAATGTCAAAATAACGAAGTTGTATAGACCAAACGGCCCAATATTTTTGTAGACAACCTTTTTTCTCGATTTCGTGATCAGATTTTCTTACGCTCGAAGTGGAAAACAGATAGGTTTAAACGAGTTTTGAATGCCTAATTAAATAGACAATGTTTGCCTACTTCCAGACTGAAAACACCCCAATTTCAAGACTTTTCGTAAATAAAATATTCGTAGGTTACGATGAGATGAAGCTATTTACGAAGTTTCAGACGGATATTAATAATTTATCAGGACTAAGAAAAGAACCAGTCAACAAGATATGGGAAACATGAATAATGTAAGTAAAAATAATAAAGTAAAATGAAGTGGGTAGAATGATGACAAAAGTAAGAACTAAGAGATAAATAATGATCTTAGATTTAATCAATAGACTTTACAATATCTCAATTTTCTATCTAACTATTCCATTTGCAATATCTTAATTTTACTATTTATTTCCATTTCTTATATAACTTCATATTCCTTTTTTCTGTTTTACATTTTATTCTAAGATTACCATTTTAATACTTATGTCACCTTTTTTGATTATGTTTACTTCATCATTCCACACTTTGTAACGGTTATTATTATTTATCTCTTAGTTCTTACTATTGTCATTATTCTACCCACTTCATTTTACTTTAATTTTTTTTACCTACATTATTTATGTTTCTCATACCTTGTTATCTGGTTCTTTTCTTAGCCCTGATGAAGGCCTGAACTTCAGGTCGAAACGTCGGCAAATGTTAAAATAAATATTATTATTTATTTTTGCCTTCTTATTTCTGACTGATCACCCCAACCATCCTTCTCTTCATTGCATATAAAATAATTTTAAAAACTACAGTAACTAACTAGTAACATATCCACAACATAAGTAATAAATAAAAATTATTACTATTATTAATTAAAATAATTTCCTCGCTCAGCGGGCCAGGAGGAGGTGGTACGCAGGCTGGTAGAAGCCGGAGCCTGCGTCAACGTGCAGAGCCAGAATGGGTTCACTCCGCTCTACATGGCCGCTCAGGAGAACCACGACACCGTGGTCAGGTTCCTATTGGCCAACGGGGCCAACCAGAGCCTCGCAACGGAGGTCAGTAATCTCGATACTGAACATCGAATGATGTTACTTCCAATAGCTCATTCATTAAATCACAATCCATTTTGCAGGACGGATTCACTCCACTGGCAGTAGCTATGCAACAAGGGCACGACAAGGTAGTTGCAGTGCTCTTAGAGAACGACACGCGAGGGAAGGTCCGACTTCCTGCACTTCACATCGCCGCCAAGAAGGACGACTGCAAAGCCGCAGCTCTTTTATTACAGGTAATGGAAAAGATAATAAGCTATGTTATCTTCCAACAACCATCGTCCTTCTTACGCCTACTACCTTCTCCAATTCAAGTCCTCATTCCATTCCCTTTCAACAAGATCTCGACCTTCTGACCTCTACATCCCTTCTCACAGATCTGCCTAATTTCAAAACTCCTTTATAGCTCGCGCTGTCAATTTCTGGAATTTCCTACCCATCAAAATTCGGCATTCCCCCTATTATATTTTTAACATATAAATCAAAATAAATGTTTTAATTCATTTACTAACCCGACCAAAAACTTGTTTACATACTAACTAATAAAAACATAAGTTCTTTTTAGAACAATATGATTTAGACAATTAAATTACAACAGAAAATATGAACTAATTTACATTCCCCTAAAACACCCAAAATATCAAATTTAGAATATGCTACGCACCCTGCGTATCCACGTTCAAAACCCTCCTATTCCAATTCCCATCCCCAAAACAGTCAGATGCTTGCTAAACTTTTGATATTATACATTTTTATTATATCATTCATCATCAAATGACAGTACCATTCCATACTGTAAACTTCACTTGGAATTTTAGAACATCTTCCTACTCTCAATGCATTTATTGTTTGCTTTTTTATTATTTTTATTCATATACAAATAAATTTGTATCTATAGTTACAAAGTTAATTAGTTGTTTTAGTTTATTACAAAACTAAAACAATATCAGTCATAAAAACATTATTTATACAACTTTTAATTATTTATTATTATTAAATATTATACTACTCAAAGGGCAGTGATTGTTTAGTTAAATATAAATTGTTTTTGTTGTTTTCTCTAGTTTGATTTCTCTAGTTTCTCCTTATTTTATTACAAAACTTATCGTTATTTTCTTTCCTTTCCACCACTTTTTTCCTATTATTTCTACAAAGCTGTTGTATAGATTGATTCAGTAGGAATAATACGAAAATAGTGGTTATAAGGAAAGAAAATAAGCATAAATGATGTTTTTTGATAAAACGGAGAAAGAAAAAGGCTATTTGTGGAGGTTGAAAAGAAGACAAAAAATTTTATATTTAATTAAACAATTACTGCTTTTGAGAAGAATACTATATAAATTTATAATTAAAAATATTATAAATAATGTTTTTATGACTAATATTGTTTTGTTTTGAAAGAAAAAAAAATTGAAAATGGCTTTTCGGAGTTGAAAAGAAATAATAATAATTCTTGTTAAAAAGATGTGTTAGTTTTAAAATAAAAACGTGTGAGATTAAATTTTTTTTTAATTTATTATATATTGATTATTTATGATAAATCATTTTGTTTTATTGTCCAGAAATCTATTTCGTAGATGCTTTGATTGAAGGATTATTTCGATTCCCAGGTTGAGTTTATTACTTAAACTAAGTTCTGTCCCTAGATAAATAGGTGAACGATTCTACCTGTTGAATGTTAGGATCCTATTTCTAGGAATGGTTCCTGGATCTCTCCGTCACTAGCACTATATATATATATATATACACACTAGTATATATATTTTGTATTTGTTAATAGCGAATCCCAGTTTCTTTCCAGCCAATGAAATCTCTGGAAAGTGAATAGTTAACTTGCCAACGTTTCGCCATTTTTCATAGTATTGTATTTGTGATGGAAATATGAAAAGTCTACTGCTTCTATCGTTTAACGTTCTCAATACTATTGGTTCTAGTATGTGTTAGCGTTCTTTAATAATCTTATAACATCAAATTTGCATTTATTAATGAAGAAAATACAGTCAACATATTTTTCTTAAACAGCCGTTACTGTAAGGCGTAAGGTGGTAGGCTCAGCACGCATTACCTCACTACAGCGCTGGCAGGGTATTTTATAAATTTTCATAATGTAAGGCGCAAATTAGATACAATAGTTGAGCAAACACAAAACAATTTTTTTTTTTCTTAAAGACATTTAGAACTGTATTAAGTAAATACATCTAGTAAATTAGAACATAATGTATATAATGACATAAAAAACACTTCCTGAGTAACTACCCAATGGTAGCACTCTAATGATATGTTTACATTAGGAGATCACGGGGCCATCTTCTTTTCAGACGCCTCGGAGGGTTATCAGGAATTGAAGAGGAAGCAAGGTTAGAAACGAGAGGGTTGGGATGATTCTGAAGTTTATTATGGAAGGATAAGTATCTGGATTGGGCCAGATCTGAAACAAAAGGAACATTAAGCTCATTATGGATGGTTTTATTTGTAACAAAGTAGGGAGCATTGAGGATTTTACGAAGGATTTTGGATTGGATACGAGAGGAATTCGATGGTTTAGTGGAGCTCCATAGCTCAACTCCGTAAGTCCAAATAGGCCTTATTATAGTCAAGTATATGAGTCTTTTGTAAATAATTGGAAGATGAGAGCGTTTGTCTAGTAAGTGCTGAAGTAATCGGAAACGTCGAGCGGTTTCTTGTCTTTTCAGTCTAATATGAGGATTCCAAGTTAGTCGTTTGTCCAGGTGGAGTCCTAGGTATCGGATTTGCTCAACAGGGATAAGTGGAGTATTGTTAAAGGAAACTGTAGGACAGGAAGTTTTTGGTTTACGCAAAACAATATTATTTGTATATAGAGTATTTGTTAATGTTATAATAATACTTTTTTATTCTGTAACAAGCTCCTTTAGAATTATATATATATATATATATATATATATATATATATATATATATATATATATATATATATGGTTGGTTTCTGGAGATGTCTACTGCATATATATATATATTATATATATATATATTTATATATATTATATAAGGTCCTGTTAACAACAACTAAATATAATCTTCCATATTGAACTTCTGATTAGACGTAATAAAAGAGGGAGGGAAAAGTCATAAATAAAATATAATAGAACAAAATTTGTTAAATTAAATTTTAAAAATAAATACAATAACAATAAAAAAAATCAAATGAAAACGCCCAGAGGAATTTAGGAAGGATATTATACATCCATTCCCAATAAAATAGGCTATTAATTACTCATTTTAAGAAAGGCTGACACATAACTATTTCATGTTTGGCGGAAATTTAAAAATTTCTCTACTTTACTTCAATTCGAACTCATAATCATTAAATGCAAAATTCTAGTATCTAAAACTTGTATTCAATATATTTTTTCATTCATATTAGGCACTATTAGAAAAAATAAAGAAAATGACAATGCCCGTAAAGGAATTTTTAAAGAAAATTCGTAGATCATATGTTTTATTAATAGACATTTTCATTCTTCTATCCGAATCCGATGTTTGAGGTGCTCATTTGAGACAGAATGTTGTTTAATTCATAATAGAATAAAGATTATATTGTGATTCGCCATTTGAAAGTTATATGTCAAAAACTGAAAAAAAAAGTAAGAGAATTTTTAATACTGACCTCCCCTCTGCTTTGGTACCGTTCCTAGAGCAGGACAAACGTAATATACTATTATCTGGCATCCAATAAATAAAAAACATAAAGTTCAGCTTTCAAAAACTCACTTCCAGCCGTGGAGACCAAAAGGTTTATTGGAAATATAATTTTTGTAAGTTAAGCGAAACGCCCGAATATTTCACCGCAAAACACGATTATTCCACCAGCGATATTACTTTTTTTTCCTTTTATTAGGTCTAATCAGCTTTTCAATATAACCTTCCTTAATTGTTATTAACAGAACCCTTTCTTTCCTTCAGGATTTATTGTATTTAGATGGCTTCGTGAGATGTCTACTACAATATTTTTTTTCTGCACATATTTGATCATTATTTTTCTGTCCTAATGATGCCTTAATTGGCGAAACCTTGGTATGTTAACTATTCAATTGTATGTCCTTTGGGGCTATACTAAACCATCAAATTCCTCTCGTATCCAATTCCTACAATCCAAAATCCTTCGTAAAATCCTAAATGCTCCCTACTTGGTCACAAATAAAATCATCCATAATGTCCTTAATGTACTATATGTTTCCGATTTAGCTCAATCCAGATACCTGTCCTTTCATAATAAACTTCTGAACCATCCGAACCCTCTCGTTTCCAACCTTGCTTCCTCTTCTATTCCTGATAACCCTCAGAGGCGTCTGAAAAGAAGATGGCCTCGGGGCCTTCTAATATAGAAATATAATTGGAGTGCTACCAATGGGTAGTTTCTCTTCACGTTGAACATGTTAAATTACTTGTTCATATTTACCTGTTGTATTTATTATTATTTGCAGTTGTAAATTTCGTTAATAAAAAAAAAAAAAATTGTATGTCGAAGACTCCTAGTTTTGTTGTTTGAATTTTTCCATTCATAACATCATTTTCTTTTATCATTATCACTTTCTTTCTAATGTTAAGTTATTATCATCTCTCGAAATATATTACAGCAACTTACTTAATATATAATTTCCAGAACGAACACAATCCCGACGTAACATCGAAAAGTGGTTTCACTCCACTTCACATCGCAGCTCACTACGGTAACGAAGGTATCGCAAATTTGCTCCTTACTAAAGGTGCAGATGTGAACTACGCTGCAAAGGTAAGTGTAAGTTATCAATTTTTGACATTTGGAATTTTTGTATTTTGGGCTATCATCTCTCCTCATCTACGTTCTTCGGTCTTGGCTTTTATTCTTTTATTTATATAATTTATTTATTTTTTTCAAATACTTAAACACATACATTTAATAACAAATTCAAAACATCAAAAGGATTAGTTCTCAACAAACTGTCCCATTCAAATAGATAGATCGTTATTCACATCACTACGTTAATTAAGATTATAGTCCGTGGTACAGGCTCCATTTTATCAAATTATGAACATCCATCCGAAACTTCGTAAATAACCATTTGCTTTCCACTTGCATCGTAAAATAATTTCAGCACAAAATCTTGGAAAAAGATAACCTTAAAAAATATTGAGCCATTTTACGTGACATAAACCTCCAAATTGTCAAAATAAGGAGGTTATACTGGACCAACGGCCAAATATTTTTAAAGGCCACATTTTTTTATCGATTTTGTGATCAAATTATCTTATGATCCAGATGGAAATCAAATGAGTATTTACGAGTTTTTAGTTCCTAATTAAATACACAAAGTTCAGGCGGATGATAATAATTTGATAAAAAGGGTTCTGTACCACGGGCAATTAAATTATATAAGAGGATGCTGGTAGAATTCTTATAGAGAAAAAAAATTTTTTTTGTTTTCAAGAATTGAACTTCCTAAATGCCGAATTTTCTAATCTCAATAGATTCCATTGTTCTGCTTGCCAAGTGTATGATGCTTTAATGATAATCAACATTTCACTTCATTGCACATATTACTATTGTAACTGCATTGACAAACATACAGGAATAAATCGTGTGTTGCTACTTTTGTCGCATTCTTTTAGTCCATTCAGATAAACAGAAGCTATATTCATAAGGTAAAAAAAAAAAGTTCTGACACCAGCCCTAACTATTTCAGGCTCAAATCTATGTTTGAATCAAGGTCAAATATATATTTATTCAGAATCCTGAAAATTTCCTTTGTCTTAACTATCGGATGAAGAATATGTTGGTATAATGTTCCAAATCGGCAGTAAAATTTCTTGAGAAGAATCAAACCTATGTTTATGTTGAATTTTTGCAAAGGCTATTGTTCTTATTCTAAGTCATGTAAAACGAAATAATTTTCGAAAATACTAAACCAAATTTAGTATTTATAGCTTGTCCAAAGCATATCAACCTCGATGAATGAAATGAATATCCACACTAAACAGAAACAAGGCAACAGACCTGACCCCGAAGATATCATTATAGATATCCTCATCTATCGGCTGGCTGAAGGTCTTGGCCAACAGAGCAGCCTTGTCTAGACAGGATACCATCAATCAGATTTCCGACTGTCAGCTTGAGTTCGCCATATTGATTATTCCTGACCTCTTCTCCAAGAGTATACATATAGATATCTAGTTATCAGATATCTTCAACATGCATTAAAATATTGAATTTTTTTATAACTTTGCTATACATTTATATAATAATATAAATAGCTTTTATCAACGCGTGCAAATCAAAATTTAAAAGCCGTTATTAATTTACCCATTCATTCAAGCTCTCTCCTTTTTCTCAGATAAAAGTTATATTAATTCAATATAAGGATGAAAAATAGTCAGAGGATACTGTCATTAATCCAGTTTTATCAAATTTACCGACGATCGGGGGGAGGGGGCAGTCAGCGAATCGTAGTATCCGCTTTTGTTTTTCTTTCTAAAATAAATAAAGTCGATATAAACATTTCGTTAGGCTTCAATACTGGAACGGTGTTAAGTCGGTGGATCGATACGGAACAGATTGATATTTTAAGATTTTGATGTATATACAAGAACCAGCTATTCAAACCTAAAAAGGTACCTGTTTCAAAATAATGCAAGCCTAAGGGTTCGAAGTCACACAACCTCACGTTAATTGTAACGCTGCCATGACATACATGTCTGATGTCATCGACTTGTACCTTTGATCGAGAGAGGAGGAGTTTTATATTATTTATCAAAGGTTTTTTTTTTTGTTTTTTTTTTGTCGCTAAGGCATATCTTCGTTAATTCTTCATCTAATCCCAAGATTGAGCCATCATTCTGAAGGTTCCCTTCTCCTTCAGGTAGGAAAAATAGTCACACATTCCCACAAATTTCAGAAAAAAAAATGTTAAGAAAAATAAACTTTATTTGCAAATAACTAAAAAAGTATTACACTGTTTTGTTTTAATAACAACTATGATTATCGCCATCGACTTGTGCCTTTGATCGAGAGAGAAGGAGTTTTATATTATTTATCAAAGATTTTTTTTGGTCACTAAGACATATCTTCGTTAATTCTTCATCAAATCCCAAGATTGAGCCAACATTTTGAAGGTTTCCTTCTCCTTCAGGTGGGAAAAATAGTCACACATTTCCCCAAATTTCAGATAAAAAATATAAAGGAAAATAAACTTTATTTGCAAATAACTCAAAAAGTATTACACTGTTTTGATTTAATAACAATCATGATCATTTCAAAGATTAATAAATTCTCTAAAAGAATGAAAAAAAAAATCATCTAAATCGGACTATTATTAGCAAAGATACAGCTTATTGAAATTCGTAAACATGTTAGTTCAAAACATGAATAAATTGTTCAATGAATTTTAATTTCCTTCGTCAATTATAATAATCGAGAAAATAATAATTAATTTCAATATATTATGATACATTGCATTATTTTATTTTATTATCATATGTCATTAGACCACTGATCGATGACCATTATCTTTCTCGATATTGCGTTAACACTGTGTTTCGACTACCAGCTAATAAATATCAGATGTTAAGCCACGGTATTTTTAACGGATCCTTTTCGCATTCGAAGCCTTATATATTCCTCTGCAAGGTATACATCCTCAATATAAGAATAATATTCATTTTAAAACCATTTAACGTACCTACTTACAAAAAATAATTTTTATAAAATCTTTGCTGAACCAGATATCATATTTCTACAAGTAATTTAGTTCAAACGCATACATATTTCATCTCATGTTTTTGCCATGTTAATTCATTTTCAATCTTTTTTCGTCTGCTTTTTTACTTCTTATACTTTTTTGCATTTATATTTCATCTTATCTTCTGGCTCTGTCGTTTCAACTTTGCCTTTTTATTATTATTACTTTAATTTCTTTTGAAAATGCATTTGAAAAATTGTATGTGTGCTTTCCAGTCTATCTTTCCTGTCTTAATTTTCTATTTGTAGTTTGTGTTTTCATTAAATTGCTTTATAACTGTTTATCTTTATAATTCTAAGACGTATGAGAAATATAATTTTCAACTAAAGCTTTTGAAATTATAATACATCGAAAATTTATAGCTCTTCTACTATTATATTAAACTAATTTTCAACTATGAATATTTTAAATATAGTACATATTGCAAAATGAACGTTATTTTATAATCGTTTGATGTAACATGTTTTAGAAGAATATTTGAGTTAAATAATTTTAAAACTAAGCTTCTTTGTATTTTCAGGCTAGAAACTTCTTAATTAGCTTAAATTAAATGAGAGTTTTTTTCATTACGAATTATCAGCAGAAACTATTGGTTTCAAAATTAATATATCTTTTATAGCTCAAGTTACAAGAATTCCAAAGTCTTAAGTTGAGTAGATAACTTTTCATCTCAGTTGAATATTTTGAGTTCTAAAATACAAGCATTAATATTTTTATTATAATTAACAGCATAACATAACCCCACTGCACGTCGCCGCAAAATGGGGAAAAGCCAACATGGTGGCAGTTCTTCTGAGCAGGGGTGCCAACATCGAGGCTAAGACCAGAGATGGACTGACTCCGCTGCACTGTGCAGCCAGGTCTGGCCACGAACAGGTGGTAGACATGCTTCTTGAGCGTGGTGCTCCCATCAGCGCAAAGACAAAGGTATTATATAATCATTAATATAACATAATTATTTTAATTTATCTGACAAGGATCCTATCTTACCCTAAGGTTGGGGACAACGAAACGTAAAATATTATCTTAAACATGCTTCCCAAACGCCACAAACACGTAGAAACTGTTTGCAAACAAAAATATCTGGAAAATTCAAAATATATCGGACTGACATTCTACAAAAGAATGACATATCAACAAAAAAAGAAAAACGACTCCCTTAGACTACGATCGTTGTACTGACTTCTTTCAAGACGCTCAAAATTAAACTTAAAACAAAAACTGAAGACTTTCATTTACCTAGTTAGGCCCATATGGATCTACGCATCACAAATTTACGGGGCAGCCATAACGACCCACGTACGAAAACTATAAACTTTTCAGTCAAAAACATTCAGTACTATAGCTAAAGGTTACTTCACAAACATCACATAAAGACCTTCAAATGGCAACATTTAACGACCACATGCAACTACAAAAGATTTCGCAATAAATTACATGAGCATACTAACACATTTATACAAAGTATGGCCACCTTTAACATGCCCCAAAAAACTCTCAGGAATCTCAAAAAAAGCTGGATTAGGGATTTCCACGTTCAAAAATATGCTTATTCAAGACAGGAAGGGAGGCCACTGAACACTCCTCTCCCTCACTCCGATCAAGCCACTACCTGTACTTTTACCGACAGCAGACCCACTGATTGTCATTGCTTATGATTTGTGTGGGAGAAGATATAAAAATAAAAAATATATATATATATATATCCGACAAATTTGAGCATTTTCACGCTTGTGTTTCATAGAAATATTTTGGAATATACTAATTTTATTTGAAATAGAAGAAATCTTCATCTTTCTCTTGTTCTTTTGCCTCTCAGCGTCGAGCTGGAGTCTCGATCTACTTCATTCATTCATTCCTATCTTTGGCCACTGGAAAAATTTGGACGCACTTCTTTTCTCTTGTTTTTCTCAATCCTTTTAAGTTCGCTCTGAGCGTCATCCTGGGTCATTCCACAGGTCTTCGTCCTTCATCTCTACATACCATTTCGTCTTGTAAGAATATATAGTCCGTGGTGCAGACCCATTTTTATGAAATTATTAATATCCTCCTGAAACTTCGTCAATAGCTTCATCTCATTGTAACCTACAAAAATTTTATTTACGAAAATTCTCGGAACTGGAGCGTTTTCAATCTGGAGATCGGCAAACTTTGTCTATTTAATTAGATACTCGTAAATACCCATTTGCTTTCCTCTTGATCATAAGATAATTTCAGCAGAAAGACGAGGAAAAATCTGGCCTCCAAAAGTATTGAGCCGTTTGGCGTGGCCCACAACCCAATATTGTCAAAATAACAAGGTTATGTAGGCCAAACGGTCATATATATATATAGGCCAAACTATCTTACGGTTCAATTGGAAAGCAAATAAGGTATTTGCGAGCTTTTAGTACCTAATTAAATACTCGAAGTTTGCCGACCTCCAGATTTAAAACGCCCCAATTCCGAGAATTTGCGTAAATAAAATATTTGTAGATTATGATGAGATCTCTTTACATAGTTTCAGGCGGATGTTAATGATTTGCTAAAAATGGGTCTGTACCACGGACTTATGCATGTCCCCTCCACCTGAGTTGATGTTTTTCTATTTTTGTTTTCACGGAGACTACAACTAATTAATCCCTAATGAGTTCATTACTTATACAGTCTCTCTTTCTCTTTTCTGTGATTCTTCTGATAATTATCAATTATACGGTGATTATTCTTTCTGTATGCTTCTCCAGGATTGTCCAGTGTTTTGCTCCATAACATTCACCCTGTTTAAAATTACTGAATTGATGCAAGTGTCTGCGGATATTGGTGTGAATCCATGCGTTGCTGGTGATATTTAATATTTCTTAATTTCTTCCAAAATGCATTTATCTCTATTTTGGCACAGCCATTTGCAGATGACAAAGTGCTAATAGCATACTCGGAATTTATGGAAAGCATTGATGAAATGTAGAGTTGAATTAATTCAAAAAGCTGAGGAGATAAATTCAACAAAAAGTAAAGTTATGCATTTCGGGATAAACGAAGACAAAATTAAAAACAATTGTGAATACTACTTTTCTCCCAGTGGTAGATAAATAAAATGCTTAACACATTGTAACTTTTTTTCGGGGAAGTATGTTAAATATATAAATTAAAAGGGCTTCAAGAAGAAGACTGTAGCCAAGTTTTATTAAAATCGTTGCAGCTGTTTCGGCATTCCAAAGCAATCAGTGAAGAACATTAATATTCTTATTAACACACTGTTACCAAAATGTTTTATTGATAAGACTAAACATCGTGAAAAGCTAAAAAAAAAAAAACATTGGTTGACAGAGCTGATAAAGGTACTGAACTGTTTTTGTTTTTACCTAGTTATAGGTAGAAAAAAAAACTTTATTCTGGGACTAAGTCCCTTTAGAATAACAAAATTGTACAAAAGAATAGAATACTACTGGCCTAAAAGTTTGGAACAATAAATAAAGTTGATAAAATAAACTAAAAAGTAAAAAAAACTTAGGTAAACAAGCTATATACAATAAGAAACAACTATGTACAAAGCACTTAAAACTATGAACAAATCACTTAAAACTATGAACAAAAATATATATATATTATTTGAACAACATAAACATACACTTTGAGAAATGAAGAACGAAAAAGAGATAGAATAAGTTCATTTCATAAAAAAACTTTACTTGTATATATATATATATATATATATATATACAAGTATATATATATATATATATATATATATATATATATATATATATATATATATATGTATATATAAAGTTAGTTATAATTGAATAAAAAAAAATAGATGTATTGGAATTCCTACGTCGAAAGGAGGAAATGCATGCACTATCTCTTACAAATTAGTACCGTATGATTATATGATTGCTACGCAATACATATATAGTGTTAATATTTAACTGGTATCTGAATTTTTGGAACAGGAATTGGAATAGGAGGTTTTTTAATGTGGATAGGGAGGGGCATGTCGAATTTCGATCGGGAGGGAATTACAAAAGTTGACAGAGTGGGCTATAAAGGAGTTTTGGAATGAGGCAGACCTAAATTTATTTATAGCTTTTTAAAAAACAGTGCAGAAACGTGAATATCTGTTACGTTTTCAACCAATAGAAATTACATGACACATGTGCTTTCCGCACATGAATACAAGAAAATGTGAACAAGCCAAGCCAAGTAACTACTGGTTTGGGTAATATGTGAACCCACTTTTAGACGATAATCTGATTTCTCAATCCCTAAAGCCATTAATAATAGTAGAGAAGGGGAAATTGCTTGATTATTAACCCTTCGATTGCAAAGGCAGTGCCATCTGGCCATTGAGTGGCCCTATTGAGTTATCGAGTTATCCTCTTTTGCAGAACGGCCTCGCCGCCCTCCACATGTCGTCCCAGGGGGACCACGTGGACGCCGCGCGGATCCTCCTCTACCACCGCGCCCCCGTCGATGACGTCACCGTAGACTACCTGACGGCCCTCCACGTGGCCGCTCACTGCGGACACGTGGGTGTGGCCAGGCTTCTCCTCGACCGGAAGGCCGATCCCAACGCCAGGGCCCTCAACGGGTTCACGCCGCTCCACATCGCCTGCAAGAAGAACAGGATCAAGGTGGTCGAGTTGCTCCTCAAGCATGGCGCTTCCATCGAAGCCACCACAGAGGTAACTGTCTTTTCAAATATATCTAAGCAAATAGTTCTTGTGAATAACAAGTTTTGTTTACTATGGCATTGCATTATTTTTTATATAGTCTGGTTTGACACCACTCCACGTGGCCAGCTTCATGGGCTGCATGAACATCGTCATCTACCTGGTCCAGAACGAGGCCCACCCCGACGTCAAGACCGTCCGCGGGGAGACGCCACTGCACCTGGCCGCCAGGGCCAACCAGACTGACATCATCAGGATATTGCTGAGGAATGGAGCTCAAGTCGACGCCAGGGCCAGGGTAAGGATATCTCTACTACTAAATATTTATCATATTGTTATCAGGAAATGAATCTTGACACTCCCACTCTAAAAAGTGAGCGGCAACAATCTTAAGGTAGGCGCCAGAGGTTGTTAAAAAGGACAATAAGGGCCACTGAGTAGTTCTCCCCACCAGTTCTCAATACCAGTAGTTTTTTACTTTCACTTACGAATATATGTTATATATAGTAAGGGTGAGTATTGCTATCGTGAAAATTTTTGAATAATCGAATAAAGGAGAAAAAAATAGAAATGCTTATACAGGTCGAAAATAAATGTCCGGAAATACAAGTCAGAAGGTAAGTGTAATATATCATTGGAAAGCGGAGAATTTTAGAAAAAAATAATATCTAATATAGAAAGTTGGAGAAGGTAAAGGAGAGTGGCAAAAACATAAATAATAATGTCAAAAAACTAACATTATACAATGTAAATCACATGTTCCCATGGAAATTAAATGAAATTTTCTTACTATATGTAATCTTTTAAATGTTTTTCTAAGATTGAAAAAACTATTTAAAATCCACGGAACAAAGCCAATACCATTGTTTAAAATACTATTTCATTGTACTATTGTGAAAGAAGAAGTGAAATAAAAAAATATTTAATGGATATGTTTATAACCTCAAATATATATACTATAGAGAATTAGCTCTAGATAAGATATTATATTTAAATAAGTAGGTATCTATCGGCCGTTTATTCCATAAAATCTTCAAGTGACGTTTTAGAAAATTAAATTAGTGAATAATTTGATGAAGTTTCCCTTTGTGAAATTCCAAAATTATCCACTTACAATTAGGATGACAACTTTTGACCTATCCATGGCAAGGCAATGAAAATCTTGTAATTTTGTTTTTGTAAACTTTACAATGGAAAATAACAGCTTAATAACTAATAGTCCTAAGATCCATAATAATTTATAGTTTAAATATTCAGATATACTTTCAATCCTATGTGAGGCATATATAAGAATTTCGGTTGACAGAATGACTATCTCTAATTTCAACATTCTTTATTATTAATTTTAGTGATGTTTCTAGTGGCTCAAAATGTATACCTTAATCCACAGTTCTACATTTTAACACTGCAATCACCTACTCCGGAATCAACTTACTGTCTGCATAGATAACTTTTTCGACTAGAAATATCACTAAAATGACATTACTAAAAAATATTGAAATTGAAGTTAGTCATTATGTCAACTGAAAGACTCAGAGACTGAAGTTGTGTGGTTTATAAAAGTAGATGGAGTGATTAGATTTTTATTGCCTGCCGTCGGTATAATAAATAGATTTTTTGTAATTATAATGGTCTTAATGATTTGTTATCTGTAAGCTTTTAGCTTTATCGCCGTTTAAAATGCACTTCGAACATTTTATAATAGCCCAGCAATGCCAGAAAATAATTTCTATTCCAAGTAGTGCGGTAAGTGAAAGTTGTGTGTTGCGCGCACCAGATTTTTAGGAATAATAATGTTTAAATTTGTAATATTTAACATGTGTCATAGTTTTGCAGCATGCAATATCAATAAATCACCAGGAAATAAAACTATTAAACGAAATCGAATGATCTTTTTAATGCCTACAAAAAGTTATTCCTTAGAAACATTTACACCAATATAAATTTTGACAGAAGAATGACGTTAGATCTCAGACTACGACTATTATAATCCTTCTTATATATTTCTTTAAAAACGTTTAAAATTATAAACAAAACAGAAATTGAACACATACATTCACATAATCAAGCTCATCTGGACCTTGGCTTCACACATATACGGGACAACCAAAAAGACACATATACATAAAGTACAAACTTTCCATTCAAAAACTTTGAGAACTGAAACTACAGCCCCGTGGTATGTAACAAACAACACTTTACATAAAGATCTTTATATGACCACAGTTAACAAACTCATACGGACACATTACAAAAACTTCATGATTTTATAATTAGTAAAATTGTAAAGATTGTCTTTACTCTACAACTCTTACATTCTAAGATGCTGGCCTATCACTATCTTTCTTGACAATGAATTTAATTTTTGCCTTTTTTTTCTCAGGAAGAACAAACTCCTCTCCACATCGCCTCCAGGCTCGGGAACGTGGATATTGTCATGCTGCTCCTCCAGCACGGAGCCAGCGTCGACTCTACGACCAAGGACCTCTACACGGCCCTCCACATCGCCGCCAAAGAAGGCCAGGACGAGGTAATAACCCTTATCATTAGGAGAATGATGGACCACATCGATATTAGCTATCTCTTGTCGAGGGTCTGGAGGAGGAAGCCGGAGTATCTCATTTAGTTTTGTGGAGTATTTGAGCAATTATCAGTCTGTGATTATCCAAAGTTATTCCATCCAGGCTTAGTGGGAATAATTTATAAAAAGGGGTTAAGGTATACTTCTATTAAGAGCATTTATTTAGTTAGCATTTGTAAAAACTAGGCTGTGGGTGAACTATCAGGGAAATATTAAATAAAATAGTATATAGTGCGTCAAATATACAAAAAAAAAAAAAAAGTGAAGAATATTTATGTGAAAAAGTGTGTTTGTATAAGTAATTATTCTTTGTTTTGGATTGATTAATACTATTTTTTTTAAAATAAATACACAATCAGAGATAAAATAAATATATCGGAAGTATATAAAGGGTATGACGCAGAAAATCTGCCCATCCTTTTGAATTCTAGAATGATCAGAATATCAGAACGGAAATCTGAGAAATCACGTTTGAGTATCCTCAAGTTAATTTGAACAGTAAAGTCATTTTTTTAACTTGGCGAAGTATTCCCTCAGTGATTTTGTATGGACTAATTTTTGTTACAGATTCTAGTAAGAAATAAATTCATAAACTTTTCTGATCCGGCTCATCTCGTTGGTGCTAATTGCAAAAATACAAATACATTTAAAATAAATGTCACGAAAAAAACATTATTAAAGCGAATGTTGGAGAGAACGAAGATCACTTTTATTTATTATTTCCATTCTTAATACCAGCATTTGAAATTGATAATTACAAAAAATAAAAATCAAATTTGATCAAAATTTTTATCTGGAATTTTTGAAAATCATTTGATGATTTTTGTTTTTATTTTTGATCATTAGTTATAAAAATCATATTTTGATCATTGTTTTTGAAAAAAAAAATACAGTTAACAATAATAATAATGCTTGAGTAATACTGTTTTAAATCAGAAATATACATTTTTTGTAATCTCTATGATTTACTCGTTTTTTTCAGTCTGAAACTGTAGTTCGAGAATATTGTTATCAAATTTCAGCAGCAGAACATCTTTATTTCCGAAATCTATTAGAAATTTCAGCTTACAAAAAAAATAAATATATATACCAGTATATAATGTAGCTATCGCGTGCACAATAAAAGCGATTTCAGAAATATAATATCAAAAAATGAGTACATTAGTAACATATAGATACATATTAATATTTAATTTAATTAGTGTGTAAAAGTTGATTTTTATTTTCTGATCAAAACGTTTTTGACCATTATTTGATTACAGTATTATTTATGTAATACCATACCTCTGAGTGAGTGAGAATTATTTTTAATCGAATAAATAAACATCAAAGATCGATTTAAATTTTTATTTATAAATCAGAAGCGATTTTTAAATTAAAAATCAAATATAATAATCATTACATGATTTTGTGAACAAAATAATCATCGATTTCAAATCCTGCTTAATATTAAGCGTTTTGAAAAAAAAATACGCTCGTTTTAAACGGAAAAATTATTTTTTATGTATTTTTAAATATTTATTGGATGATAATAGACTCATTTTAAAGGAATTTTAATTCTCTACAACGTTTGTTTTAATTGGTTTGTTTTTTTAAATTCTTTACTTCAAAGAAATCTGGAAAAAATTTTAAAAATTATGTTTGCATTTATTACGATTTAAGCCGCCGTTGCTGTATCAGATAAAGAAAGTTCCAAATATAAAACTAAATTGTCTATCAAAATCCGCAACAAAAAAAGAAATACACGTTTCAATCAAGAATTCCGTAGTAAAATATTGTCATTGGAGAAAAACTTGGATAGGTTATCAAGTCAGCTGTGCCTCCAACTAGCTTCAGGTTACTTAATATGGATCCCCAACATTTCATTTTGATAGGTTAAACATTCTAGAATTTAAAGGGAATAGGTTATCTGTAATAGCTTGTATAAACCAACCAATTGAGTATCTAATAACCATTAAAAGAGCTTAAAAAGACTTAGTTTAGGTATTATTTTTGTCAACTAAAGCACAAAATAAAAGTTTAAATCGATACATTAACCACATTTACTAGTAATTGTTTAATAACAATGATATAAATTTATATGAGCATGGTATCAGGAAATAAATGAATTTTAAATTCCAGGTAATAAGGCTTACAGACCTGTAATGTGTACATAGGTTTTTGTGTTACTCAATGCATTATTTATAATTTTAAAAAAATTAGGTAATTATTATTTAATTATAAATATTTTCAAATACATGAGTTAAGAATTGAGAAAAAAATGAAATTGACTAAACGTATGTGTCAATAAATATAAAAATAATGGAATATAAATAATAAATACATGCAATTAATACAGCAAGCATGTCTTTCTTCCTAATTATTCATGTATTCTATTATCAATTAATTTTATCAATCATTAAAATTAACTCAAAACACGTACTTTATTTTTAATATTTTAAGTCATTACTAAGCAGTAATCAATTTCAAAAGACTAATCAACAGTCAAATATCGCCTTTATGAGTAATTTCAAGATAGAATGATTTCACCAAATCAGTTTTTTTTTTTTTTTTGTTTTTTTTTGGTACGACATTGTAAACATTTTCAGTATTGAATTAGAGAAAAATACGGATGAGTATTAAACTTGAAAAACATTTTCTTTTCATTATAACGGTCCCATAATTCATTCGATTAGATTAGATTAGTAACTATTAAATTTCAACAATTAAAGTTTAATAAACTTCAAACAAAACTTTAGCATAATCTACCTAAAATAAACCATGCCTCGCTTCGAGGACAACAAAAGTTAATACCCCCACAAAAAAAAGAGAGAAGCCATAGAAATGGCAACGTTTTTGTCTCAACGTTTTCTAACTGGACAGAATCAGTATAATAGCTTAGGCAATAGGAAATTTCCAGGATATTTTATTTTTTTATTTTATTTATTTTATTTTATTTACCTAGCTGTCTGTATTTTTTTTTCTTCAAAATTTATGTAAACGCCATGTTTTATCTAGAAATAAAAAAAGTTCGTTCTTTCAACTTTAATTGAGAGTATAATAAATACGCGAAATTATTCAATATTAAAGATTTTTTCTTAGTAGAATTGTAGAATTGAAATAGTTTTTTATAGTTTACACCGCATTATTTTTTTTAAACATATTTTATATTTATTTGACCGAACCCTCCTCTCATCCCGACCAACTCTAATATTATATATTTATATATATATATATTTATATACATACATACATATATGTATATATATATATATATATATATATATATATATATATATATATATATATATATATGTATATATACAATTTCACTAGGAAAAAAGCTTTAATATTGAATAATTTCGTGTATTATACTCTCAATTAAAATTGAAAGAACAAATTTTTTTTTTTTATTTCTAGATAAAATATGGCGTTTACATAAATTTTGGAGAAAAAAAAATACTGGCAGCTAGTTAAATAAAATGTTAAATGAGAAGGAGTTGGTCGGGGGGAGGGGTTTATTAAAATAGTATTTTATAGCTTACACCCCATTATTTTATTGTTTATTTTAAGATATATTTCATATTCATTTTATTATTATTTAATATATATTTTAATATGTATTTGATTGCACCCTCCCCTCCCCCTCCGGACCAACTCTTCATATTATAATAACGGTCCACCATCTAACACCATTAAAAATTAAAATGGTTTAATAAATTCGATGTTTTACAAATTTAATTAAGAACTTAAAGTCAAATTACTATTAGATAAATTTAATGAAACTTTTACTGCGCAATTCAATTTCCATGAACACGACTTTATATAGGCAAAATTTCAAGCTATAACCAAAGTAATAATACATAAATCGAAATATATACATGTGAAATATTCAAATACATACATTTATTACAATAATATTATATAAGTTAAGCAGAGCTTGATGGAAACTGGGCATTATTGAATGCTAGTTACGTGCGAGTTCTATCGACTCCTGTTAGACCTATAGATCTCTATGGCTACCTCCATCGACAACAGCTGGTGTTAATTTTACTTTTTACTATACTATCATGTTTTATCCTCGTCTTATCAATATTCATTTTATTGTCCTTTATTAAAGATCTTTATAAAGAAAATTTTGAAAAATTAATCCAATGGCTACAAGATATTCATTTTCTTCCTATAAAAAATAATCCGTACAGATTGTTAATGTTATTGAGGGCTGTATAATGAACGATTTATTAGTGAACGAAACACACAAAACGATAAGAAAAGATATGAGTTCCTAAACTCTGCGATAATTTTATCGATTGAATCAATTGAATCCAGCACCAAGCACAGCAATTTAGGCTGCGTTTAAGAACGATTTCCAGAACAATTAACTGAATTTCAGCAAGATTAACACTTCTGGGAGATTACATAATACATTTAAACTACTAAAGTAGAAAATAAATATCGTTGTTTTCTTTCAAAAAGGCACTTGGTTCATTTTTATAAATTTCGACATTATTTATCGATGCAAAAACCTTGTAAGTTCATAAAAATTACATGAATGTTTATAAATAGTGGGTCAAAAAAGTATTGGCACACTCCAATATTTATGCAAATCTCAATAGGATTAAGATATCTTCCAGAAATAATATTTATATAACAAAGTATTGAGTAATATATTTTAGAAGCAATGTATGTTCAGAATTAACAAGCTATGTTTCATGAATGAAGAGTAAATTTTGAGGGGCAAAAAAGTTTTAAATTAAATTAAAAGTTTGGCAGAGTTTTAAATTCTTAGTATTAGCTCCAGTCAAATCAAATTACTCCTTTTTCTTTCGAGAGATTAGATACGAGGATTGATGATAATACAATGACAAAATACCAATTCATACAAAATATACAATCTTTGTTGAATATTTGCCATAACAACATAGGTAAACGAGTCAATATTGTGTCAGTTTAAAAAAAAAATCATTAAA